CCATAAAGAACCCATACCATTTTTTGAGGATTAAATGAGATGATTTTTATCTGAGGTCCCCCTCACAGTGCCTGGCACATAGTGAGTGCTCCAGAATGGTTTTTTTTGTTGTGAAGGCATCTCTGACCACCTGGTTGTGAGTCAAGCTATGTCCCTCATCCCTACTTGATCTCATGCATCATCTACTTGACTCCCATGCCTCATCTCATCTTCGGGACCAGAACCTTGTCAGCTGCTCTATCTGAACAAGGAACCTCTGGGTCTTACCTTATACCTGGCCCAGTGCCTGGAGCACAGCATGGCTCAATCTAAGCATGTTCAAGAAACAAACAAGTCCCTCCTGATGGGGCTCTTTAAGGGAAGTTATTGTCCGCTACTCTTCAGCCCAGGGTGGAAGGACTGCCTGTTCTTCCCAAGGTGTCCCTTGGTCCGTTGTAGCTGGAGCCTTGATGCAAAGCCTAAAGTCACCCATGGACTCCCTGGAGCCTTACTCCTGAGCAAAGGGGCTACCTTCCAGAAGTAAAGGAGCTGGGGATCACTCTGCAACATAAATCAAAACAGAAACTAACATTAAAATTATTATTTAGCCCTTGAAGAACCCAACGTTCAGAGAGGTTAAGCAAATTGCTCAAGCCACACAGCTAGTTTGATCATTCATTTATACATGCAAGGGGAAGAAATGTTGAACAAAAACCAGATGAGATTCTTGCCCTTCTAGAGCTTAAAATCTAGTGCAAGGATCAGCAAACTTTTTCTATAAAGGGCCAGAGAGTAAACATTTTAAGCTGCGTGAGCCATAGGGTGTCTGTCGCAACTACTTAATTCTGCCATTGTGGTATGTCAGCAGCCACAGACAATATATAAATGAATGGTGTGGCTGTGTTCCAATAAAGTGTGATTTACAAAAACAGGTGATGGGCCAAATTTGGCTTTGAGGCTTTACCTTTTTGATCCCTGGGATTGTAGAAAAGGGACTCATTAGTGAAATAGTTGCATGGTTAAATGTCAAATTGGTGGTTCAAAGGAGATAGATGTGATTCTGGGAACATAAAATAGGAGGACATGGGAGTTAGAGAAGGTGCTCGTGGAAAGTGTCATTTTAAATGAGATTCAAGGATGAGGAGGTGAAGGGAAGGCATGGGAAAGAAAGAAAAGTTCTGAGCTGACAATAGCTGGTGCAAAGGCCCTGTGGCAAAAGGGAGCACGGCTCTTTTTAGACACTGAAATAATGCCTAGAAAGCAAGAGGGAGGGCAGGAGAGGTCAGCTCATGCAGTGAGCTGTGAGCTGATGAAGACCACAGGATACGAATGTGTCTTAATCCCAAGAGCTATGGGAAGCCATTGCCCTTTTGATTCTAAGGGGTGGCATGATTCAATTCTCACTATAAAGTGCTCACTCTGGCTTTTGGCTGGGGGTCCCATTGACAGCCACCAGAAGAGACCACGGTGGCCCCAAGCTCTTTAATGCAGCCAGAAGCCAGTCCTTGGAGCCTGGAGCTGATGCCTGGCTCCACACCCCTTCCCCCGCTAACTCTTCATGTTACGTTTGCTATCCTAACACATCTTCCTCTTTCTCCACCTCTAAACCAAGATCACATTGCATTATGCATTTTACAGCCACAGCTCCATCCCATTCCATTTTTCTCACCTTCCTTCTTTCCCTCCCCAGCCCGATCCCCCACTAACTTCGTAAAACTTGCAAGTTAAATTTTTCAAAGACTGTTTCTGACAAAGCAGTGGGAATTAGATTTGGTGAAGCTCTTCATAAAAAATTGAAGACATGCTGTATTAACATACATTGATTTATTCATAGTGTTTCATTACAAGTAAGTGAGGATCCTGTAATACCGGGAAAGGTGAGGCGAGCAGGCAGCGCGGTATTTTATATTGACAGCTCGGTGGAAATTGAGTGGCTTTTGGGTTGAATTTGGAGTGCAGAAAAGGAATTGGCTAGTAAATAAGGCATGAGTTTTACCTCCCAGTGTCTGTATATCAGTGTGGTTGCCACCAGCCCAGGCAGGGGGACTGGGGCGGAATTTCAAAAGGATGCATGAGCACATCTTCGCTCGTGGACTGGGGTTGGCTGCCACAGGGAAACATCTCTGACCACCTCCCTCCTTCTGCACTGGGGAAAACTTGAATCCAGCTGAGCCCTGAAAGCTCAGCTGCCCCTCACCACTGCCCAGCCACACTGGACTCTCCTCAGTTCTCCCAGCCTTTGTGCAGGCGGTTGCCTCTACCTGGAACCTAGAATGCTCTATTCCTCTGTTCCAACTGTGTATCATCTTCAGGTATCAGTTCAGTTCTCCCCTGAGATACCTTCCTGAGCTCATTGTCTAGTTCAACGTTTCTCAGAAGCACATCCTGAGACAGGAATGCGAATTCCAGCAGATTCTTAAGAAGTTTAGGAAACACTAGGGAGTGGGGAGGAGAAAGGAAGGCAGCTGGTGATGGGTGTGTTTTCCAGGCGGCTACCTTTGGAGGCAAGTGGAGCGGAATCCCTCAGGGAAATCCCCAGGATGCTGCAGGGGTATCATGTGAAAGGAGCCTGGGAATGTCTGCATCAGCTCCCACGAGTCCAGTTGCTGGGGGTGTCAATTCCCCAGCACTTCCTGTGAGCACCCACGGGAAAAAGCCCTCCAGCACAGAAAGGCATGTGGATGTTTGAAGGCTTGCCTCTGAGAAGGCTGGAGTGGGCGGGGGTGACCAGAGGGAATGGCGTGGCCAGGCCCACCAGGGACCTGCGGGATGGGTACCCCTGCCCAGGCTCTGCTTGCAAAATACCCCAATCCTTCAGCTCCATGAGTTTCTCCTCCTGGGCTCACTCTGCTCCAGACGAAGTCTGTCCTCGACCTGTGGTGTCAACAGCTGCACTGCTTAATGCGGGAGAGAGAAGTTACCTCTTCCCCAAAACGTTTGGTGCCCTTGCCAGAAACAGCAAAGTGCTTATTTTTGAAGCAAATTTGGTATGTTCCCTGTTCTACCTGGGTTTTCCTTCCTGTCAAGCATGAGACATTCTTGACAGAAGACAAAGTGCTATAAGGTGCCTGTGTGGTTGACTTACCTCATTCTATATATATATATTTTTTTGCTTGAGGAAGATTGGCCCTGTGCTAACATCTGTGCCAATCTTCCTCTATTTTGTATGTGGGACACCACCACAGCATGGCTTGATGAGCAGTATATAGGTCCATGCCTGGGATCTGAACCCATGAACCCCTGGCCACAAAAGCGGAGCACACAAGCTTAACCACTACACCACTGGGCTGGCCCCTGCTTACCTCATTCTAGAAGAGAAGACACTTGAGGACAGGGCCTAGCTTGTATTTGTTTGGGGGTCCCCAGCAGCACACAGTGCAGGTCCTAGAATCCAGGAGTATGCGGGAAACATTTGTGGAGGAAAAAATAAGTGAATGAATGAATCTCTTCTTCAATTAATGAAATGTGTCTCCAGGCTGGGCCGTGTGGTATAGAAAAAAAAGCACGGGTTTGAGAGTCCAACAGACCAGAATTCAGTCCTGTCTCAGGGATAGAATCCTGAATAACCCTGAAAATGCATGATCTATAGCTACAGTGACAGCCCGCATGAATCTCACAAACATAAGGTTGAGGGAAAGAAGCCAGATGCTAAAGAGTTGACCCCATACCATTCCATTTATATAAAGTTCAAAACCAGGAGAAACTCACTGATGCTGTTAGAAGTCAGGATAGAGGGTATCCTTGCTGGGGGAGAGGAGTAAGGCGTGGAAGGGTTCATGATGGGAAACTCTTAGGTCTGGTAACGTTCTGTCTCTTGATGGGGTGCTGGTTATGTGGCTGTGTCCAGCTGGTAAAAATTCATTGAGCTGTCTAGCTTTCTATATGTATATTATACTCTTACAAAATATTTTTAATAGAACAAACTAGATAGGGCAAATTAACAAAAAAGCCTGTGTGTGCCACTTTACCAACTGAGTAATTTAGAAATGTGGTACCCAAAGTATGAGCCATGGAGGCCAGTGTTGGGACGTCAACTATTTAGCTACTCTCACAGGAGGATAAGTGCAGAAATTGAGAATGAGCACTTAGAAATTCTCAGAGTGCCTTGACATGGCTGTGACAGCCAAGTGGGTGATGTGGATGCCTCTCCTTGTACAGGGTATACACCAGTGTGGTTATTGCCAAACTCACATGATGAGTCACATGTGATGTGGTCTTTGGATTATTATGGGCCTGCAGTGAATTGGAAAACACAAACCTGAGCCTTCACCACAGAGAGTTTGGAAAGTGCTGATTCAATGCAAGCTGCTTCTGGTTGAGCCTTGGTTTCTCCATCATTAAAGTGAGAATAACTATGCTGATGCCCCCAAGGTTTTGGGAGGAAGACAAACAAGATAATGCATGATAAAACACCAGACAGCAAATGCTGTCCATGTGGAATCGGGGACTGTGACATTTTTTAACAAGCTTCCAAATGACTTTTATCGGGATGCTACACTTAGAGACTGCTCTATAGCTGCACTGTCCAACATGGTGGCCGCTAGCCACACGAGGCTACTGCACTTTCGAAATGTGGCTTGTCTGAATTGAGATGTGCTGTAACGTCAAAATACTTACTAGATTTCTAAGATTTACTGTGAATAATGGGATAGAAAGTATCTCACTTTTTTATGTTGCTTCCACATTGAAATGGTAGTATTTTGCATGCATTGGGTTCAACAAGATATAGTAATAAAATTAATTTTTTCTCTTTTTACATTTTTTCCTTTTAGTATGACCGCTAGAAAATTAAAAAGCATGTATGTGGCACGCATTCTATTCCTAGTGGACAGCAATGCTCCAGAGCATCAGCAGTGGAGTGTTCGGAGGCTGGCATAGTCTGTAAGGTGGACAGTAAGAGCAGAACTTGCTGATCAAGCTCTCAGGCCTTCCGCTCTTCTCCCCTGCTGTTCCTCCAGGTGAGCTCCGTCCAGCTTCCCGAGTGAGGAATTTATTTGTCTGTTTGCTGGCTTGTTGTGCAGATCAACTACAAGGCTGTTGGCTCCCTGGACCCGAGTGCCGACCTCTCCAGCCAGAGGGGGAAGGTGTTCAAACTCCGGAATGAAACACACCACCTCTTTGTGGGTCTGTACCCAGGGACCACCTACTCCTTCACCATCAAGGCCAGCACAGCAAAGGGCTTTGGGCCCCCCGTCACCACTAGGATCGCCACCAAAATCTCAGGTATCTCTCTTAGAAAAGGAAAAGGGAGACAGGAGTTGTTTTGTTTTCCCATTCCTAATTTTCCTGGGACTGAAAAAGGGCAGAGCCAGCTGTCACCGTGTGGTTTTGGAGCAATTAGGATGATGCAATCCCTCATGTGTCACTGCTGTGGTCTCATGAAGAAAACCTAACCCACGAACTTCCTAAAGTGTCAAAAATACATTAATCAAGTTAGACCTGAGGGAACACTGAGTGATTCACCAATGACTTACCACATAGTTACATTAAATAGTACAATTTTTTTTCATACCAATTGGCTTATAAAAATGTGATTTATTTTCAGAAACATTCCTTTTGGCAGTGCAGGACACAGCTTAGGTTCTCATAAAATGTCTGATGACTGAATGAATGACTATCACAGAGTCATGGAGGTCCGAGATTTCACCTGGCATCACCAGTAGGACTCCCTCCACCATTAGACAGCATCAAAGAAGAATTCTCTCAGAACTTTTTTTACAATTTACGCTTTTTCAGAATACCTATGCGATTCTGGGCTGCATGCAGACACATTTTGCACAGATACAGACCCAGGGTGGTTTTGTGGCTTAACGTTTTCACTTATCCTTATGCCATAGAATTTTCCATGTCGCTGCATTGCTTTCGTTATAATGTTCTGTCAAGTGGATGGACATAATTTAATTAAGCGTTCCCCTGTGGTTGGATATATTTGGTGCTCCCATGGTTTTATAAAATAACGCTTCAATAAGCATGTTCGAGAATAAAGTTTCATTTGTTGATTTGTATTATAACTTTAGGGTTAAATTCCAGAAATTGAAATACTGAATTAAAAGGGACGTGGGTTTTAATAGCTCTTAATACGAATGTCTAAATTACCTTCCCAAGGGATTAAATTTAGTCACCCTCCTATCGTTGGGGATGAGTGAGGGAGGGTCTCATGAAAAAACAGAAAAAGATAAGAGGAACTAGTTCATCACTGCTGTAATTTGCATTTTAAATGTGTTTAATAAGGTTGAGTCTTTGGTAAGTACTTATATTTCCGGCGTTTATCTGTTTGTTCGCTGTGGACCTTTTTGATTCATGAGGGTTACTGGCTGCATCATTGCCAACATGCCCCGGCCTCTTCTGGACCTTGAAGGAAACTACAGGCTGGTTGGAAGTCAGGGCCTCCTTTACTGGAAGCTAGGATGCTCTGTGGCTCTCATCTAACCCTTTCCTAAACGTCCTCCTTCGGGTCATCCTGAGTGTCTTTAGCGATTGCATCAAGGGGAGGTGGTGAGCTGGGTTTGGGACCTATGCTGAGCTTCCTCCTCTCTCTGTTCTCTGCCCAGCTCCGTCGATGCCTGAATATGACACAGACACCCCACTGAATGAAACGGACACGACCATCACGGTGATGCTGAAGCCGGCTCAGTCACGGGGAGCCCCTGTCAGGTGAGGAGGGTTCTGAACCTGGAGTTTGTGGTTTTCCTTCTCTGCACCATGCACACCTCCAGTTGAATCATCTCACTAGCGATGCCCAAAGGCAAGACTGGCCAGGAGCAGGGCTTCCTGGAAGAAGAGGGTCAGCAGCCCCAAGGCCAGTTCAGAGGGGGCCACTGACCCAGGAGCCTTTCTCCCCACAATGGGGTATTAGGACTAGTTCAGAGGGAACATGCTGATGGGGACCTGAGGAGGGCTGTGAGAGAACTTTCTAGAACACACCTATGATAAACGTATTTAGTAGAATTGGAGGCCTGGAAACTCAGTCACCCTTCCATGTCTGACTGCCATTAACAGCCAGATGGACAGACTTGCTGAATTCTAAAAACAACCTGCTCAGAAATTAGGAATGGGACAGGACCTCTGGGCTGGTCCAGTTTAGGGCCTTGGAGTGCTAGAGTCCCACAGGGGTACTTGCAGTCAAAGTCACACTGCTGATTTTCACAAGAGACTACTGGAGTTCAGGAGCATCCTTAAGGCCGAAGCAGTGAAATCGTCTCAGTAGCTAAGCTGACCCAGTGCAGTCCATGGGCTCATGGCGATCAGGAAGGTGGGCGTCTCTTTTTAACAAGCTGTGCCTTGCACAAGGACAGCAGCTCATATGTTGACTGCTGGCTTTGCCCAGAGCTTGAGGGACTAAAGTTCCTTGAAACCAAGCAGAGAGTTGAGTGGAACAGCTTTCAAATGGGCTCAGTTCAGTTCAACAAGCGTACATTGAGTATCTTATGTCAGGAATGGAGTGGGGCACAGGAAGTAAAAATGATTCATCTATTCATTCATTCAACAAACATTTTTTAAGCACTCACACTGTGCCAGGCAATGTTTAACTGCTTGGAATACAGTAGTCAACTAGCTGTGAATAAGTCATGTTCTAAAGAAACTCCAACTCTGGCTGGGGAGACAGAAACACAAAAGCATAGTTACAATACAGTGCACGCCTATGGAGAAATGCATAGGTCATTATGAGAGCTCAGAGGAGAGAGAATTCCCAGAGGAGGTGACACTGAGCTGTATCTTAAATGTCGCACACAATTTTGCCAAAGTGGTAAGAGGGTCCAGCCTGAGCAAAGGCGTGGAGGAGAGAAGCAGCCTGCTGTCATGGGGAGCAACCAGGAGTGGTTAAGTCTGCTTTGGCATGAAGGTCAAGGCAGGAGTGGTGGGGCGAGAAGCTCAGGCTTGTTTGGGGGGCCATGGGGAGCCACTAGATAGCCACATGCAGTGCGACTTTTATGATCCTGGGAGCCCAGACAGGAAGGAGGCTATTGAGATGGTCTAGTTATCTGTCTTCCAACCTGGCTCCAGCTCCACCCAGAAATTATAGGCAGTGAAGCAGATAGAATCAACTGCCAACAATTTGGAAGTTCCCATCTGTTGGTTAGACTTTGATCAACGTTCTGTCCTCAGTCAGGCGAGTCTTCAGGCCTTGCAACAGGTGTGTGTAGTGTTTGTGGGGCACCTGAACTAAGAATGTTTCCTTATATTCTACACATAGGTTGTTCCAGGACGTTCCTACCTGGGATGAGCCAAAGCAGATAGTGGCCTTTACCTCAAATAGTTATTGAGTTATTGCTTTTCTTTCTGTAATTCTCATGCAATGTTGTCATTTAATTCTGTCTATACCCTGAGATGTTATTATCTTCGTTTTCAGATGAGGAAACTGAGGCTCAGCGATGCCCAGGGGTACACAGACAGTAAGAAGGAAAGCTGAGTTTGAATGCAGGTCCTCCAGGTGCCAGATCACATGTTCCATTTTGGCCACCCATGCCTTACTCCCCTCTACAGCTCTCACCTCTTTCCTATGGCAGCATTGGTCATGTTTCAAAATCTTAGCTTCCCAGATGTCAAAAGTATGGCCCAGAAAAGAGAAGCAGCATGCCCAACATTGCGCTAGTTAGCAGCTAACCCAGGAGCCTAGGCCAGAGCTGACCCAAAGCCCATGACCTTTATATAGTTGATCCAGGCATCTCCTTTCATTGCTGCGAGCCTACAAAGCTATCAGCAGGGGGACCTGATCAGCTGGCACCCACTGTGTGGCTTCCTGGTGGGTGTGGATTCAGTCCAGCTCCCCACAGTCTTCTGGATGCTGTGCAGGGCAATGGAAAGGATCTGAGTTTGATGCCAGCGAACCTGGATTCAAATCCTGCTCCAACACAGCTGTGTGACCTTGGATAAGATACTTAATCTCTCTGAACCTCAGTTTTCCTTATCTGGAAAGTGTAGATGATAGCTATTTCACAGAGGCTGGATAAAATCTAGAGGTGCCCAAAGCAAGGCAGGCTGTCAGAGAGCTAGTTCCTTCTTTAGTTTTGCTTCTTTTCTGTGGGACTTAGGAAGTTCTGTTCAAAGTCTACCCCTGCTATAGAGTGACAATGTTGCCTGATTGCTTCCTATTCACATTTCCAAAGCTGTTTGAGACCCTCCCTCCATGGGGAAGTGCTGTGTTTTTTTCTTTAGGAGCCCCTAACTTCTTCTCAGCACAAAGATTCAGAATTTTTTTAGTTGTACTGAGAGATAAGCAATTTGGGTCCTTCCCAGTGTCAGGATAAAGTTAATTTTTGTACAGAAGATCAGGGACACATCCTCAAGATGAATCAGACTATATGTCTGAACCTCTGAAAAGTCATTGAAGTCAGCTGGACACAGATGGGAGTTATTATCACCATATTTTATTGGACAACTGCTATGTTCCAAGAATTTAACCTTGACTCACCTATGAGTAGTATTATTATCTTCCCGATAGAAATGAGGAAACTCAAATTCGATCGCGGAGCCTGTAAATGATAAGCCAGGACTTGTACCCAGGGCTTCCTGACTCCAGAGACCAGCCAATGGGGCCTCTGAGCAGCCCATACCCATGTTCTTAGAGAAGCTTTTCCAGTTCCCAAAGAAACCCCTTACACTTTCCCTCGGAGCCCATGTACTCCTAGTTTGCACATCCATTTAATAAGCTTGCGCATCCTAAGACTGCAGTAAATTAGGAGGTGGGACTGGAAATGCCCCTGGAGCAGTGAGAAATGACAGCTGGCAGGAAGCAAAAAATAGAACAACTCTGCAAAACCGACACAGGGACTCAAGAAGCAAAGACGTCTATATGCTGCAGCCCCCGCAGCCCCTCACAGCCATGGCTGTTCATTAGCTGCTCATAGTTCACCCAAAAAATGCAGCCTTAGATTCCATGTCTTCAAGTTAAAAGAGGCTGCTGGCTTCCATTTAATGAGCAGCATGTGCCTTACTTGCTTGTGCCCATCACTGTACACAAGCCTCTGTGTACCCTCACAGCATTTCAATAATAGTCTGCCCATTTTACAGATGTGAAAACTGAGATAAACAGAAGCTAAGTAAGTTGACCCAGGCCATGAAACCAGCAAGTCGTGCAGGCAGAATTTAAACCCTCTTTAGCTGACCCTAAGCCAACACTCATTTCACTATATCACACCACCTCCCTAGGAGAAAATTGTGCGTGATATATTTTGGTGACATTTCCATAGAAAAAAATTAAAATAAATGTCACTGCTCAAAGGGGCAATGCTTGGTGTCTGGAAATGTTTGGCTGCTTTTCTTCCCAAGCTTCTGGATCACGGAGGGTGGATATACACTCAGTTTCTGGAATTATTTTCAGACTGTTGCTTGGGCATTTGCCAAGAAGGGGAAGAGAATAACCAATGCTAGCCAGTAAGACTTTCAGGACAACTGCGATGACAGCAGTGACAATATCAGAATAGATTTCAGTTGCCTTAACCCTTTCTCACCTTGAGCTCTGGGCACTAGGGTGCCCATATGGGAAGCAGTTGACCATTAGGTCATTCAACAAATATTTATTGAGTACTTGCTATGTCCTAGGAATTGAACTAAGCAGTGAGGATATAGCAGAAAATAAGGTAGACACACACCTGTCCTCTTGAGGTTTCTCATCCAGTATGTGTGCATGTGAATGGGGAGGGAGGTGGTACATTAAGCAAGTAAGCAGACAAAATAATGCAACCAGTAAACCAAGATCATACGAAACCAGTAGAGACAGTGTATTGGTTGCGAGAAGGAGTAGACTGGCTGGAGAGATGAGCGTAACCCAGGCAACTGGACCAGTCTTACAGGTTGGGGAAGCAGGAGCACTGAGAAAACAATGAAGGTGCTCTTCGACCACAGGACACAAAGAGCCCACTAGATACATTGGGTCAAGGATGCCTGGAATTGTATTTCATAGTTGATAGTTGATGTAATTCCATTGTCTCATCTGGTCATCCCTTACTCGATGAGGAAGCTGAGTGGGAAATGCCATCTCCATCTCAGAGGAGGAAGCTGAAGTCTAGAATGTTAAATGATTGGCCCAAGGTCACAGGCTCATTACACCTAGAGCCAGTACATGAACTGAACCTCCTGTCTCTGGGTTCATTGCTCTCCCATGCCTGGGATGTCAAGTGGTGACTGGGTGACCTTTGAATGAGGATTCTGTGGAATGAACCTCCATCAACTAGGGAATGAGAGGTAGGCAGGATGGCTTCTCAGGGGACCTCCAACTCTGGGTTGTGGTGGCCCACCCTGTAACTTATGAAGCTCAGCATATCTCTCTCTGAGTGAGCTGCCGATTCTCAAACAGACTCATATCTGAGCCTCGGCTGCAGGCCCCGGCCAGGCAAGCTGTTCCTCCTCCTTCTGCCAGCAGCACTCTGGCCCTCACTGAACCAAACTCCAGCCCCTGTTCTGCCACTTGCTGCCCCTTTGAAGCCCCAAGGGTCTGACTCTGTCTGATAGAACCGAGCACGCAGGGAGGTGAAGAGGCGAGGAAGGGAGGATTGTCATGTGGGTCTCCTACACGCTCATCCCTCCAGCCAAACCACCGCGGCAGCTTGGCCTATTTTTCTAATGCTCCACAATGGAGATTTATTGCTTTTGCATTGCTATCCTCAGGCCTTCAAAGATTTATTGGGTTTTAAGTGACAGAATCCCAGAATTGC